TTCTTGGGCTTTGAATTCTATATAGCATAACTTCTCTCCCTGCCCTCCTCTCTTTGCTCTCTTTTTCTTTCATTTTTTTTCTGATAACACACAAACACACACACACACACACACACACACACACACACCCCTTCAATAAATCTCGCAAAAAAACAAAACACTGAAATTCCCCTTTGTCCCACTTTTATCTCATCAATTTTGTTTGCTGTCTCTATGCATGCTTTATAGTTAGTACACATTTGTATTAGTTCAATGGCCCCAGTGTGAAATTCATAAATGAATATGCCTGTATTCAGGTTGCACACTAAGAACGCTTCCACTGACAAGAGTGTTTAAGTAGGAAGTTTCTCTTTGGGGCAATGTTGCCATCAGCCTAACCCTCTGCATGCAGTGATTTGAGGAATGAACTCAAATTCATAGTCTTTAGGAGCTGACACCTCCCGTCAGTGGGAGTCCCCTGGTGTTGTGGTGGAGGGAGATGCAGACCTCCACAGAAACTCATCTCTCTTTCCACCATAGTGACAGGGTCACAGTGGGGATACGGCTGTCCAGGTGAAGACTGACTTCCCAGCACTCACTGCTCTTGCAGCCAGGTATGGCCACGAAACGAGGAAGGTGAGTGAGTTTGAGCATGCAGTGCCCACCTCACTTGCTGAAGAGGAAATCCCTGGCTCTGCTCTACTGCTCTTTCCTCTTCCCCTTGGCTGGGATGATCATGAGCACAGAGACATTCGAAGTTATAATTTAGAAACAGTAGAGATGCCTTAAGCCTTGATCCCTGAATGACTGAGTGGAACAGAGCCACTCAGCAACCTGGATTACCAGCCATGGATTTTCACAGGAAGAAATACACATCCTTGTTCTTGAAGTCACTGAATCTTAGCCTCCCCTTGTTATATAATTGGAAATGATAATAAATAACTCAGGCTACATTAAAGAAGAAGGGACTGGATGGGAGGATGGGGAACATTTTATGTGCTTAAAGGAAAGGCTGAGAACCAGATTCAGAAATGTTAGCTGTGTTAATTCCTGCAAACCAGAGAGCAGGAAGCAATAGACAGTTGTACCAGGGCCACAAGAGCAGGTGAATTTCCCTTAAACTTTTTTATTTGCTGTGTCTCTGTTCAAGATTATGTTCCAGAGAGAATCTTTCAGCTGGACTGGCTTAGGTCATGTGTCCACCCCTTGTCCAGGACTAGAGAGAAGCTCTTGATTTACAAATCCACCATGGTAGTGCGGAATGGCAGACGGGTGGGTCGTGTAAGCAAAATCCAGATGCTGCTACCCAGGAAAGGGGAGGTGGGGTATGGAAAGCCAAAGCAACAATTGTGTGCCACATTTCTGAACCCTGGATACTGTACTTGAAGCTGTGTGTGTGTGTGTGTGTGTGTGTGTGTGTGTAATGTATATACATATTATACATTATGGATACATATATGTATATACAAATTTTTTATATATATTATACACTCTATTATGTACTCTGTTGTGCTATTATGTTTTAAAGACACAATATACTCTTAAGCCCAAGTAGGTTTTGTTGATACCAAGTCACAGTGCATGTGCATGCTATGGGAAAAATTACGGCTTTCCCCCATCACCATGGTAGATATATTATTAAGAATACATGTACAGCAAAGTATCTTCAGAAATCAAGTGCTATGTTTATCTCTGTGTAATGAGGCTGTCAGTGTAACCTGTATTTATTGAACCACAAGTAGGTTATAAAACTTCCATTAATGAATGTAAGTAACTCAGTTGTCATAAACAAAGGAAGAAATCAGCATTTGCTTCAGATCCAGTGGAGCGCAGTGGCCTGCGTTCTAGGAAGTAGCTTAATGGTTCCAAATGGTGCCACTGACAGCTCCTGAGACTAGTGCTTCAAAATTATTAACTCAACACACACCGTGTTCAGTAAACACTGTGTCCACATCTCCAAAGAATGACTATCCAGTTTATTGTGTACATTTCACTTGATGTTCACACACAAGGATACCTCTTGAGTGGGTATGCCTTCCCCAGTTCCAAACATCTAAAGCACGCCCTAGAAGTGTGTCTGCTATTATGAAAGTGTTCTGCGTCTATGAAAGACAATTCCCAGGGTCCTGTATAAAATTCTAGGAAAAAACATTTTCGCAGAAAGAATGCTACAGATAATAGCTTCATGTAGCTACATAATTATTAGCAGCAAACGTTGGATACTTCATGAGTTAAACAAGCCACTGTGTCCTTTCTTAAGAACTTGAAAAGGATTCATTGGAGAAACATCATCTGAATTCCAAATAGCGTACTTATGAATAAAATTTCAGAAAAATATAAGCCCATTATATATCAGAAAAGGCCTCTGTACTGATACCTCCTGTATAATGAAAAGGTTGTCACAGCCAGGTTGATGACCTATTTATTTAAAGCAATGTGGATTCAATAAAATTCCACTGCACAGTAATTGGGACAGCCTTTAGAATTCATCTGAATATAATAGCAGCTGTCCATAGCGGACTGTACTTCTGTTTGCTGCCGCATCTCTGTTGCCTACAATTTGAATGAGTTTCTGCAAGGCAGGAATTGTAACTATTTGCTGAAGTGTATCACCTGAGTATCCAGAAAGGTCAGATGGCTTTTTGGTGTCTGCATGCAATTGCCAATTTATAAATGACTGTGTTCAAAGTGTTTGCATGCACAATGATTATTTAAAACATAAAACATGTATTTTTCCCCCATAGAAATAACGTTAACCATGATGATCATTTTCGAAAAATGCTCACTTTTGCACGAGAAGCCCACCTCAGAAGCAATTCTTTTTCTCTTTATGGACTAGCCGAGTCAGTATGTGTGCTGGGGGTTCCTAAGATCACCCCCAGGTCCAGCGAGTCACTAGAACTCACAGGACTCAGCATGCGGTCAGAATCACCGCTACGATGCATTAGCCAAGGAATGCCTGACACAGTCTGCAGAGGGAAAAGGCACAGAGCGGGAGACCAGGCTCCCAGTAGCCCTCTCCGCATGGAGTCACACAGGACACGCTTAATTCCTCCCATTCCTCCAGCAAAGAGCTGTGACATCGCTGCCAGGGCAGCTCACCTGAGCCCGGGAGTTAAAGGTGTTCACCGGGAACTGCTCATAGGGACCCCCTCTGCCTGGCACGTACCAACATTACACACTCCCAGAAGACAAACAGGTGGACAGCATAAACCACGTGGTTTGCACAGTCTCGGCACCGTGAGCCCCTCTGACCATGAAATGGGGGGGAATATTTCCAACACCCAGGTTTCCAGACACCCTTGCAAGCAGGCTTTCCTAAGGAGGGCAGTCTCAAGCCTGTGGCCTCAGCTCTTTTCTGCACACTAGGTTTTCAAATCGTTTCCATGGGAAAGAGTGTTCTTGGTGTTAGGGACAGATATGTCCTGCTAGTTCTTGAAGCACTGGTTCTGTGAGTGTCCTCTTCCCCTAGTCGTATATATATATGTATATGTATTTATATGTATATATGTATATAAATATATATGTACACACACATGCATACACAGTTTTGCTGTTGTTGCCCAGGCTGGAGTGCAATGGGGGCAATCTCAGCTCACCTCAACCTCTGCCTCCCAGGTTCAAGCGATTCTCCTGCCTCAGCCTCCCGAGTAGCTAGAATTACAGGCATGGGCCACCACACCCAGCTAATTTTGTATTTTTAGTAGAGATGAGATTTATCCATGTTGGTCAGGCTGGTCTGAAACCCCCAACCTCAGGTTATCTGCCCACCTCGGCCCCCCCAAAATGCTGAGATTACAGGTGTGAGCCACCGCACCCGACCTGTCCCTCATATTAATAGCAGGTGGTGGTTTCACTTTATCCTCTAGCACAGCAGAGAGGGGTTTTGAGGTGTAGGCTCTGGCTCCCTTGCCTTGCCTGTGTGTCTGCATAGGCACGATGGCTTACAAGTCTGGAGTAGCTCCAAGCCGGCCACTCCCCCATCGTCTTCTGCCCAGGTACCAGCAAAGGGCTCCAGGCTCCCAGATTCCCCTTGGTTCTTCCACTTTAAGACTTTTTCTATTTTCTGCTGAGGGAGTAAGAGAAAAAAAAACATAGTAGGAAACATTTTTTTTTCCAAACTTGTAGGCTAGCTTGTAAATCAAAATCAAACTGTTTGAATTTATTTTATATTTTATGTATTATTATTTTACTTTTGAGACGGGATCTCACTCTGTCGCCCAGGCTGGAGTGCTGCGGGTCAATCTTGGCTCACCGCAGCCTTCGCCTCCCAGGCTCAAGTGATCTTCCCAAGTCAGCCTCCCAAGTAGCTAGGACTACAGGGTCACACCACCAAATAATTTTTGTATTTTTAGTAGAGACAGGATTTTTATTATTTTACATTTCTTTTAGAAACTTGAATTGGAAGAAACATAAGGAATATAAATCATACAGTAAGAAGACAAGACTATAAAATGGAAACAGGGCTGAGCGCGGCAGCTCCCGCTTTGGGAGGCTAAGGCAGGTGGATCACTTGAGGCCATCATGAATCCCCACCCTATCTGAACCTCGGCGTCCTCATTTTAAGCTGGGAACCTTGCTAGGAAGCTTAGATAATATAGACAAATGTCCCTCAGCGCCCGGCCCTGGGAGGCATTCACTGAATGTGCGTTCTTCTTACAGTCTTTGCGTTTGCCCTTTTAGCTCATTGCCTTTTCCGATTCAGTGTCGCCAGGCGAAGGTCCCCAGGTGGTGGTGCATTTGTGTTTGGCTCTGGCTTTATTCAAAGATACGAGCTGGTGCAACGATACTCTAGTTCTTTGTGTATCTAATGTTTGCTGGCTGTCAGCATACTGTAGCTCTTTATTAAAGGCGGGAATCACTGAAAAAAATAGGGCAGCTGGATTGGAAGGTGACTGCAAATTCGCAAGCGTACACCTGCTAGACAGCGGTGAGCAATTAAGCTGCCCGTGTTCCCAGAACCGGCATGACCCGGGGATTCCCGAGAGCTCACTCAGACCCACGCTTACTGTCTCCAACAGGGCAAAGGTGAAGAAAGGCGTGAACATCGTCGGCGTGCGAGCCAGCAGCCCTTCCGTTTGGGATGTCCAGGAGCGCACGGATTACACTGGGAAGTATGCACCGGCTGTCATCGTTTGTCAGAAGAAGTCGGCTGGCTCGGAAAACAGGTGAGCCCCAGCTGGCCTCGGACGTGTTCAGATCAGCTGCCAATGTGGCCTCATTTTTTTTTTCTTAGATTGCTCACAACCATTTCCATTGTGGTTTGCATTTGGTGTGTGTAGTCTACGCTATCAGGGCCTCCAGGTAAGATGAATGGAATCCTTCATTTGGGAAAGGTGGGCTATTACTCACTGCGGACCGACTTAAAACCCCAGCAGAGCACCGTGTCACCTGCAAGGATTGCACCATGCAGATGGAATTTACCCACAAACGATGTTCCTCTTCAGCATGACCTCTTTCTAATCCATGGTATTAGATGAATTGAAAGTCTGCATGTCTCATGAAATGGCCCATTTTGCAAATGTTAGAAACCAGAGTCTATACGTCTCTTTTCACACGGTGCATTCCGCGTTTGCAGTGTATATTTAAACATGATGCATATGGTTGCATTCATGGCCAGGCATTTTCTGATGGTACAGTGAACTATCTGTGGTAGAATTGCAGGGAATTGTGGATCATGCTAGGGAGAAATTAAAACTTGACTCCATCTCTGATAGGCACCAAATTAGAAACAATCAGTTCACAGCTGGGCAGAGAGAGGCTTGGAAACTCAGTAGTTCTTGTTGTATTGCGCTTTCCTGAAATCTCGTCTGTGGCTCTGGGGATTTCCTAGTCTGGTCACATATTTTTGTCACCTGTAGGTTGCTTTTTGCTGATGACACTACTAAAAATTTCAACCATAATGAAAGGGTGAGTTCTGGTATGCCATGCATTATTTCTGGAGTGCATTTTTAAACTTCATAGCTCAGCGTTTGGAAAATATCCTGATTTTTTGTTATTTATTCTAGCAGGGATCTCATGAATCTCAGCTGATAACTATGATGATTTTTTCGGCTTATTACCAAGGAGCGTTTGAAACCACTGGGGGATGATTTGATTTGGGTTCTTGTCTCCACTTCTTTGCTCAGCACTGGTTTTAGAATTTGGATTATCAGCAGCTCTGGTTCTGGTCTTTCCTTTTTGTTCTTGAAGATTTGCTTGTAGAGCAAATGAGAGGGAAAAGAGAAAATCTGTTTGAGTTCAGCCTTAGATGTTTATGCAGTGATATGTTTATGTAGTGATAGTGTGCCACCTTGGTGAACTGGATGAACTTATACACACCCAAACACGTCTGTACCAGTAATATAATTTGGAAATAAGGTGCTATCTCAATAAAAGATTTCCTTGTGGTTAGCAAAAATTGGGATAGATGGACACATGGGCGGACAGATGGGTAGATGGATGAATGAATGGATAGACTTGATGGGCAAATGAAGGGATGAGCCGATGGATGGATGAGAGGGTGGATGAATAGATATGTTTATTCTTTATCAAAAGAAAAGAATACATTTAGGGGAAAGAATCTCAACTAATGAACTTTTATTTTCTCTTGTGTTTTTTTTTTTGCCATCTATTTTTATGTATCAGTAGAAGCAGTAATTGTAGTCTTGTCTATGAGAGGCTGAGGGATTTGAACCATTAGAAAATGTTTATGCCTTTTTTATCATTAATTTCTACAAATAGTTCAGTTCGTCTTGGACACGGAGAGATGGCACAGATGGCCCAATGCTGGCTCCTTCCCACCGAAGTATAAGCTGCCTTTTTATAGTTCCAGGGGCTTCCAGAGTCTCAGCACATCCAGAGCACATCCAAATGCACAAATGCATGGTTCTTGCCATTTATTTTTCTTTCATCTGTGTCAGTATCTTCTTTTAAGAAACAGGTACCCTGAATAGACTATCAAGCGCTTCTTTTAAAAGCCCTAATTCTTCATTCTAAATGAAGACTATTCCTTATCTCTTTGTAGATTCTGATGCTAGTTTTTTGTTTCCTTTTTAATCTTTTTTCTTCTTGCCTTCCATAGGCCAGGATATGCTTCCTCATACCATGGGTCTGGATGATGGAAAAAGCTTTTACACGTGCAGATACACACACAATATGTTATGTGTATGTGTATTATATATGCACGTAAATATTATACATGCATATTATATATGCATATAGTACATATAAATGTGATATAGGTATGCAAATGCATGCACATATAAAGATGTGCATTTTACAGGTGTTTTGTAGATACACAAATGTGTTGATGTGGGGATTTTACGCAGCAGCTAGGAAGGCTTTGCTTAATGAGGAAGCTCTAGAATGGAAGTCTCGCAGTTTTGGGAGCAGGTCTTTTTCCAGCTATGCTCCAGCCCATACAGCAGTGTCTGGCACACAGTATGCTGTCTATAAATATTTGTTTAATTTGATAGTTTTTTCTAGAATTAGATTATATCTCTAGTATATATTATGATACAAATCTGTATGCACACATATTTAGTGGTTTTCTGTGTATTTGTTCAAAAAGTAAGGTGCATAGATGCATATATAATGAGGCCACATTTGGGGAACCCAGAGAAAGGTACTTTTGTGAGCAGACTGTGTCCCCAGAAGTATACACAAAGGACTGTGACAACTGGGATTTCTACTGGAGAGAGCCGGGAAGCTGGGGAAAAAGGCCGAATGTAAATTACTTTTTCCAGTGAACCATTTGAACTGTTTAATTTTTTTTTTTTGCTATGTACATGTATTACCTATTACATAAGACATCTGCAGCTAAAATAGAAATTTTTAAAATATGATATATTTATTCATATATTCAACTCTTATCCTCACTTTAAAACTTTTTGTTTTACTTCTGCCTTTGGAGAATTAAACAAAGAAAAACCATGCTCCATCATTTCAGATAGTGATGCACTGGGATGAGAGGTGTTTTTCTTAAGGATAATTGGAAACTGTGTTAGAGAGTGGATGTCTTAATCATATTAGTAGGTTTTGCTTCAGAAGCTGTTCTGCTTTATCATTTCCTCCTACCCTCTTTGAATGTTTTCCAGTTATTCTTAAAAGTCAGAATCTGATCATCATCATGCAAAAGAAGCAGTCTTAATTAGCTTGAGAGTCATAGATTTTGTATTGCTAATAATTTGGCATGGATCAGGAAGCTGCATTAATGAAGTTAAGTCACTGTGACAGGTTTATTTTTATGGATAAAGAGACACTTTTGTGCTAATGATGAACTCACCAGGAGTGAGTGGAGATCTCTTTTCTAAGTTGAAATGCATCCTTCCCTGTTTGAAGAAGTTAGGTTGCTGAGAATCTGATCATAACAGTATGAACATATGAATGTTACCACAGCTCTCAGATCTGTTTTGACTAAGCATTGTCTTGCAGGACAACTAATTATGCTCTGACCATCAAATTGCATTATGCGTTTTCAGAATCTTGCTCACTATACTCCTATGTCAACTTAGATAAATAGGTAACAAAACCCACATATTTTCATTCCGTTGTACTTCTCTGAATAGTTGAGTGTTTCCCAAAGCTTACCACAGTTGATATGTAAATGATTTTAGGTGTTACATAGAAATGAGGTTAAATATACTTGAATGTCAGAAACTTAATTTATTTAAATTCTCCAGCAAGGTTTGATTGAAGAGAAGTTCATCTCTCGTAAGGCTAGTATGTCTTTAAAACTTCTATCCTTAGCTAATATCTTGCAGATAGGCAACAGTACGTAGCTAAATTTAATCTACTTTTATAATTATCTATTTGTTCATTGTAACAGTGATTTTACATTTTTTGTAAATAACATGTTTCATTTTAAAACAAATTTTTGGCTCACTGCAGCCTCTGCTTCTTGGGTTCAAGTGATTCTCCTACCTCAGCCACCCAAGTAGCTAGGATTAGAGGCATGCACCACCACTCCTGGCTTATTTTTGTATGTATAGTAGAGACGGAGTTTCACCACGCTGCCCAGGCTGGTCTCGATCTCCTCAGCTCAAGGAATCCACCTGCCTTGGCCACCCAAAGTGCTGGGATTACAGATGTGAGCCACTGTGCCTGGCCTTAAATAGGTTTTAAGTAATAACATGAGATGCTATAAATAAAAGGTAATTGACATTTCAAATATAGACAGATGTGATTAAATCATAAATGCACACTGAGGATTAGAACAGATTTCTAAAACAAATGGGAATATCTTAAACAGGACAGAAGTTTATTCTTTCTCACATAAAAGAAGCTGGAGGTAGGCTGGACAGGGCTGGCAGCTCTCCAGTATCATTAGGGTTCCAGGCACTTTTCTTTCTTTAACGCCACGTGAATGGAGGGCCTACATCCTCGTAGATCAGCATGGCTGCAGGAGTGCCAGTTATTGCATCAGCATTGCAGGCAAAGGAAAATGGACAGAAAAGGGTCTTTTTAACTGGGTTGACTCACAGCCAAGATTGCGCCACTGCACTCCAGCCTGGAGCCTGGCGACAGAGCAAGACTCTGTCTCCAAAAAAAAAAAAAAAAAAAAGAGTCAACCTTCTTGGAAACTCTTTTGACCCTAATTCTCTCTCTTGCATCTCATTGATAAGAACTTAATCATGTGACCAAACCATACTTCAAAGGAAAGTGGGAAACATGATTTATTACCAGCAGTGTTCCCAGTTCAGAATCAGTGTTCTTCTCTAAAGAAAGAAGAGCAGCCTGGGGTAGTGGGGCAACCAGAAACCTCTATTCCAGCAATTTATAAACAATCCACATGTGGGATTTCCAGTAGGATGATGAAAAAAGCATAGTCTCTCACTACCGCCTTCACTTTACCAGGCTCCCTTAGAAATCTGCAGTAAAATATAATAGGGTGGGGAAACTCACATAAGCACTGTACCAGAAAGGTTATTGTGCATATGTTAGAAACTTAAAGAAAAACCTGTTAAAGTTAATTTTCCAGCAGTCTGTCATCCACTAAATAAAACAATCAGCTCCTTCGACATCCGGAATCTGGGTATCACCAGACCAAAAACAACCTGAGACAGTGGAATGAGGTCATCAAAATGTCATGGCTTTCCTTTTTTGGGCAACTGTGATTTACGATGCCTTAAATAGTTTCCACATCCTCCCTGCTGACTGTGGATTACCACAGTTGTATTTATTACCA